AGAAATTGCAAAGATGGGGTGGGAAGTTCTTCCACACCCCTCCTATAGCCCTGATCTGGCACCCTCTGACTACCATCTTTTCGGATTTGTGAAGGATCAGCTGCGTGGACAACGTTTTGAGACACGGGAGGCAATTCAGAAAGCAGTGCAGTAGTGTCTTTGGATGGCTGGAACAGAATTTTACAGAAGGGGAATTTTCAAACTCCCAGAACGCTGGGAGAAATGTGTACAAAGAAGTGGCGATTATGTGTAAAAATAAAGAAAGGTCTGTAGATTGAGGTGGTGTATTTGGTTTGTCAATAATAAAGCATGTTACTTTACAAGAAATTGTTGCTCATGACTTTCAGTATGACCCTTGTATATGAGGTATCAGTCTCATAGCATGGAAACGGTTAAGGCGCACATCTGTAGTTCACATCACTCTCTTGGCTGTATGATAGCTTGTTGCAAACACTTGTTCTTCAGATTGTGTGGCCTTTAAGATGTATTGGCAGCACACTTTTTAAAACATGAATGTTGCACCTGTAAGGTGAAAAGTGTGCTGTCAACACCGCTTTTGATTATGTCAGACTTAATTCCAAATATGTTTGTTGCCTAAATGAGGAACCATAACTGAGCTGACTTTTTGCAATTTAAGACTGATTAATTTTGTGTCCGAAATTAATATTGTAAATAGTGTGTATGGTAAATAAACTTAAATTAGAGGCCTTTAAATTAAAGGGAAACTGTCTCCATAACTGATAACCTTACCTAGTGATTACTGACCTGTATCAACATACACCTGTTTCCCAAATTACGTCTACATAATGAACACTTCCACTTACTGTAGTATGTAAATTAAGAGAGGTGATGCAAGGGAATGTGGATCTCAGCATTACTTAGCGTTAAAGAGCAGATTCAGAACAATTTTTATATTTAACTGTCTGTCTGAGCCATTGATACACAGTAGAATCAAAAAGCATGTGAAGTCAACAGATGCCAGGTGATGCAACACTTGTGTGAGTATGTAAGGAAAGATATTGACAAAGATTTCTGTACATGACACAACTTGATGAGGGAACCATTTACAGACAGGGCTGTGGCTTGAGAGTTTCAAGGGGACATAACACAGTCATTAGAGGAAGTCACTGATAGGCCATCATGTGCATTCGAGAATATGTTCTTCAGTGCAAGTTTTATTTCAGAGGAGGGTAACTTCAACTTCTGGAATCTGGTTGCTCTGCCATGACAGTCCATTAATCCTTTTGTCTCTTGATACAGGAGTATAGAACCTTTCTCAGTACTGCTGTGCTTGTGCAGTCTCTACTCATCAGATTTAGCCCATGCACTTCAAGGGATCCAGTCGAAGGAGTGTGTGGCCCGTAGCCTGTGGCCCGCTGTGACGATAAGCAAGATCACAAGTGCAAAACTTTGACTCTGCCGCACATACTGGGCTTACTAGTTGATGCCCAGAGCTGTGTACAGTCAATCTGACAAATGTGGTGGGACAAGATATTTTACTTTCAGAATGTCACTGAAATAGCTCAGTCAGTATAGTGACTGTCTACACACTGAACAACTGAGGTTTGTGTTCAGAAAGGCAGCAGAGATCTTCAACAGTTCTAATGTTGCTGGGTATGAAGCTGAGACCACTCATTGTCTAGTACAGGGGTTAAGCATGTGTAAAGCTGTATCTCCATTCCCCCATACACCTTCCTATTGTAGTGTTTAATTGAGAACAGGGATAACTTTACCATTCTACCTTTACTATCAGAATGAANTCGCTGGCTTCCCACCGCAGCAGCCCGGGTTCGATCCTGGGTCTGGTCAAGTGAGATTTATGGTGGACAAAGGCGCTGGGGCAGGTTTTCTCCGAATACTTCGGTTCCCCTACCAATCTTCATTCCACCAATTGCTCCACAATCACCCTCACCTATCATCTGGGGCTGGTACAGTAGGCCAGAAGTGGCCGCAGTACAAGGGACTTAATCCCACCCCACTAGCAATAAAAAAAAATACTGCTATGTGTAAGTTGTCCCTGTGATTAACTAATTAAGCACTATACCATGAAGGTGTATGGGTGAGTGGATGTATAGATCCACATTTTCTTGACCCTGACACTAGCTGGAGTTGAGTGGTCAGCTTCACGCCCCAGCTGCTTTACCCCTGGGGAAAGAGCCCCAGGTACCCAATGGATAGGAGGTTGGGTGAACCCCAGAGCCGGTCTGGAGGATGCAGAGAAGAGAAAATTCTTGACCCTACTGGAACTCGAACTCTGACCCCTTGGTCATCCAGCCCTTAGCTAGTCACTATACCGACTACACTAGGCTGTGTGTGGGAGGTGCCACAGAACCAACAGTTATGTGAAGTTTAGGTCTGAGTATGTTTATTTCAGTTTGGTGCCTTTATGATATATTACTTTGATTTAAAAAGTGTTGATGTTCCCCAGGACATGAAGCATAGGTGATGCTTGGCATATTCAAGCCATAGATCGAATCCTTCCAGATCTCCCGCACACTGTCATGCTTCCCCCCTCCAGTGTACAGAGGTATATTCCCTGTGTGTCCCCCCCCCCATCTGGTCAGTTCTTTCTTTTTTCTATGGCACTCTCAGCATAGAGACTGTAAAATGTCAATGATAAAATGATTAATGAACTTGGAGCAGTTGGTGGAATGAGAATTGGCAGGGGAAACTAACTTCGAGAAAACCTGCCCCAGTGCCACTTTGTTAACCACAGATCCCTCATGACCTGACCTGGGATTGAACCTGGGAAGCCAGCAGCTAACTGCCTCAGCTGTGGCAGTCTCTAGCCATTCTGTTTGGTGAGTACGTTCTCTAGCAAAAGCTAATTTTGAGTTGGTTGATACAGACCATGGAAGGGTGTTTGAGGGGAATACAACACTAGGCAGAGGGGAAAGTGTCAAATATCAGTGTGCCCAACATCAATGGGACTTTTCATGTTGCCTCAATGTAGTTCAGAGATAAGACATTCATAAAAACAATTAGCTCCGTGACCTTTAGTCTGCAAGTGAACTATACCGACCAAGCAACTGCCACTTGGTGAAGTTAGTGACAACTTTTGTGAATAGAAGGTGTCGCGTGGTCAGCACAACAGATCCTTATGACCAATAATCTCGGTTTTCTAGACCACAGCCGCTATTTCCTTGAAATACCTCCTCAATTATCCTCATGAGGCTGAGTGGACCCCGTTCCAGACCCCTTACTTCTCAGAAAATATGGTAGCACCAGGAATTGAACCCGGGACCTCTGGATCTGTAGCCAGGAACTCTGATCATTAGACTACAGAGGCGGTCAAAAAATAAATAAATAATAAAATAAAATTGGAAGATTCTGTTTATCATAAAATTGAACTATGTGAATGCACTCCACAGAAGTCAGTTTGGATCTGAATTAGATGTGTGTGTTTGCCATGAAACACATTTTCCAATTTTCTTAATCCCACAGAACAGGCTGCTTGGTTGTCCCCCCCTCTCTTTATGGTGGTTGGGGAGACAAAGCTAGTCTATTTCTCTCTCATTGGTTTCACTTAAAGTTTTGTCCTTTGTCCTAGGTAAGCCAGTGGTTGATTGTGTGGAAGATGTGTTATTATTGGATATAACCCATATTTTTGGCCCATCTTTGGCTGGTTCCAGTATGTCACACATGACAAATGGGCATTTGTTGCAAAATACTGCAATGTTTTCATCAGCAACAGCACGGCATTTCAGGTACGTGGTATTCCGTGTAGTGGCTGCTTAATTAACCAACCCTTCTCTTGGTAAAAGTTGAGTTATCTAACAACGCTCAGTAGCCCAGAACATGTAACATCAAAATCATTAATGAACTGGAAAAGATGTGAATGGCAGTGCTTCTGGCCTGTTTGGATATATTCTCATGGCATTCAGTTTAAGGGACTGAGGAAAACCACAAACACCTTTGTCAGAATACATGATATCCTATCCATGATTTGAACCAGGTAACTCCTCAAACGTTACCACTTGAATTGACTTGCTCAGTTTGATATTGATTTTCCCTGGTAGGCATGTTATCAAGACACTGAGATCACAGAATTCATGTTCTCATCTTTTGGATTATCTGGTGGGTGGGTACAAATGTTTTCCAGAATACATTTGCACCTGCCTACAAGACAACAGCTGATGCTGAAACCATGGTGTGTGGGTAAAAATGTCTTTTATTCGTGAAGTTATACTCGTGTACCATGCTACTTAATGGCTGGTCTATGAACGAACAACGTTGGACTGCCTGAACACAAAATAAAGTCGAATTTCTGTATAGTTCCAATGGTGTGTAAAAGGTAAAGTCCCTCTGCTTAACTAATTAAGCACTACACCATAAAGGCATATGGGGGAGTGGATGTATAGATCCACTTTTTTTTATCTTGGCACTAGTTGGAGGTGAGTGGTCAGCTTCACCCCCTGGGAAAGAGCCCCTAGTATCCATTGGATAGGAGGCTGGGTGGGCCCCAGAGCCAGTCTGGACAATGTGGAGAAGAGAAAATTCTTAACCCTACCAGGACTAGAAGTCTGGCCCATAGCCAGTCACTATATCAACTATATTACTGTTCAATGTACAAAATTAAATTTATTTATAAAAACTTTATTTTACATAAAAAGAATCAAAATAAAATACAAAAATGATTGACTCAACAGCCAACAGTATGTCCTCCCTTGTACTTCAGGCGGTCAGACTTGTACAATCACAGCAATTTTACATGTTTTGGAAATTACAGAGTTTGAAAATGGTTCGTGTAACTTCACTTTCAAGGTTTAGCCATGTTTTGTTTTCACATTCACACTGAAGATGACAACTGCAGTGCATGCCAAAAGGTTGACAGCAGCTGCAACACTGCATACAGCTGGACCCCAAAAGGCCAAGTCACATGTTAGATTGTGAAAACCTAATAATCAGGGTGTACCAGTTGTGTTAACACTTTTATTTCAGTTAAATGTACTGTATATATGAAAACAACTTGCAAAATAGGTTACTGTATTTAATGTAAGGTACTTGTACGATATGACAGTT